TGGTGCAACTGGAGCAACTGGAGCAACTGGAGCAACTAGAGCAACTGGCGGAGCTATGGCTGCTTCCGGTGTCTGAAGTCCCTGGGCAGCCTGCTCAGGTGTGTGAGCAACAGGGGTCTGATGTCCTCCCCCGACCTGGGAAGCAGCTGCTACAGTAGAAGCTGAGACTGCCTGAGCCAGGCCAGTGCAAACTGATAGTATCTGTGCCAAGGTCTCCTGGAGACCAGGAATAGCAATAGGCACTGCTGGTGCCTGCACAGGTGCTGCTGGGACATCAACAGCTGGAGACTGGTCCTGAACTGTGGCAGCTGGTAGGTCAGCAGGTGCTGTCTCTGCTGCCCTACCTTGACCACGACCACGACCGCGTCCACGGCCTCTAGTGGGTGGTACTGGTGGTCGACCATCGCGTTCGGTAGCACGAGTTCTCGCCATCTGCGAGAGAATAGAATACAGAGATTTAATTCTCGAATCACAAAGTCGCACGACAAGAATTTCAAGAATATGGAGTTTTCCTAAAGCTTCTGCAGCCTCTCGAGGAGAAGTACAGGCGTCCCCGTACCTTTCCGTGAGACTCTACTAAACCGGCTCATGACTCGCGAGGCCTAGTAACCTAGGCTCTGATACCAACTTGTCACGACCCCAATCCCGATCGTGATGGCGCCCAACACCGATGCTAGGCAAGCCCGACCAATTAAATACTCTCAACCCAAATACGTAATCCGTTAACAAATAATACGATTAAAATAGTAAATATCAAGTTTCCAATCTGGAACTAGATAAAATAGTACGAAAAATAATAACGAATATACCAAATATTCCCCCAATAGATCTGGAGTCACGAGTCTAGAGCCTCTAGATGAAATAGAGTATTATATATCCATAGTGATAAAGAAAGTCTAGGATAGGGAAAGACAAATGCAATAAAGGGGAGAAGTTGGGTCCTGCGGACGTCAGGCAGCTACCTCAACAACTCCTAAATCGAAATCCAAGAAGACAGCAAACAGCTCCACTAAGTCTCCGGAGCACCTGAATCTGCACACATGGTGCAGGCACTAAAGTGAGTACTTCCAACTTAGTGAGTAATAAACATATATAATGGCTGAAAGTAAGAAATTCTGAAATATTACAATATAAAGCTATAATCAGCGATTCAGCACATAAAACGATGAAACAACAACAATACCAGGACAATTAAGACAATTAGGTATAAATGCATGAATGCAATGCAATGCACATGACCGTTGCGGCGCGCAGCCCGATCCATTTGGGTACCCGCGCTCACTGTGGGGGTTCAGACTCCGGAGGGGCTCCTACATCCCAAGCGCAATATTATTGTAACATTCGCTGCGGCGTGCAGCCCGATCCACACTCAGTCCAGGTATATATATGCATGCAAGCCAATCGGGCACAGTCAAATTATTCATTTTAGTGTCAATTATTAGGAATTTTAGAGCTAAGTGTTTAAACCTTTATTTATTTACTAACCATCGAGGCAGTGTCTAACTCAGGACTGATATCATGAAATATGCTAAGCATCATGAAAGCAGTGATAAGGATCCCTGAAGGATGCAAATGATAGGCACAAAGCCCCAAACACATTCATAAAATCCAAGTAGGATGATTACCAAACAATTTCTAGTCAAGAACACAGTACGAACATCAATCGGAACGGACTAGGTCAAAATCCCAGTCACAATCGACCCCTCACTCGTCATAGAGTACGTGTCTCGCCTCAATATAGCGTCACAATGTGATATACCGGGGTTTCAAACCCTCAGGTCATCATCTACATCTATTACTCACATCAAGCCGGCCACAAGTCTAGCTCGCTATGCCTTTGCCTTTCGAATCAACCTCTTCGCACGCCGAATCTGATTAAAACCACAATGAATACATTACAATAGGCTAAAGAAACACAACCCACTCGAAAAGACTCGAAAAACACCAAAATTCACGAAGTTGGCAAAACCCGAGCCCCGGGCCCACTTCTCGAAAAATTACGAAATTTACATCACTGGATTCCTCGTCTCGCCACGAGTCTAAACATACCAATTTTACCCAAAATCGGAGTTCGTTTGACCCTCCAAATTCCATTTTTACATCCTAATTTCTCAAGCCCTAACTTACCTCATTTTGATGAATTTCCACTGATTTCTATGATAAATTTACCATAAACTCGAGTAATTAAAGCCAAGGAACTTACCTCCGCTCGATTCTCAGTCAAAACCCTCGAAAATTTCTTGCAAAGCTCTTAAGAAGGTTAACAATGGAGGAAATAACGAATGGGATCGCGGTTAAAATAATATAAAAACCCCTCTCCGACGCCCAGGTTTTTTCCCTTCGCGAAGCGCGGTCAACACCCCCGCGTTCGCATTGAACAAATTCGTTGACCAAAATATTACCCTACGCGAACGCGATACTACAAACGCGAACGCGATAGTCCAGCTTACCCTCCTACGCGAACGCGATAACTCCGCATGCGAACGCCGATGAACAAACTAGGCTGGGCCCCCAAGCCCTTCTACGCGAACGCGAGGCCTTCCCACGCGATCGCGATGGTCCTAAGATTTTACTTCCGCGAACGCGTGCCTACAGACGCGAACGCGAAGACCAATTTTGGTCTGCAACAGCTGGGCAATTTTCTGCAACATTTTCAAAGTTCAAAACCTCCGTTAGCCATCCGAAATCATCCCGAGGCCCCCGGACCTCAACCAAAGGCACCAACACATCCTAAAACCTTATTCAATCTTGTTCCAATCCTCAAAACACATCAAACAACGCTAAAACCATCAAATCACATCGGATTCAAGCCTAAGTTTCTTAAAAACCTCCGAATTGCACATTCGATCAAAAACCCGACCTACACACCTCCGAATGACCTGAAACTTTGCAAACATATCCAAAATCACCTAACGAAGCTACTGCAACTCTCGGAATTCCATTCCGACCCTCGGATCAAATTCTCACCCATCCACCAGAATTCGCCAAAATGCCAACTTTGCCAATTCAAGCCTAATTCTACTCCGGACCTCCGAAATCACTTCCGATCGCACTCCTAAGTCAAAATCACCTCCCGAAGCTAACCGAATCACCGGAATTCACATCCGAGCCTTCTAACTAATAAGTCAACGGTTCGGTTGACTTTTCCAAACCAAACCTTCCTTAAAGAGACTAAGTGTCTCATTTCCTATCCAAACCAATTCAATTAGACTCTAACTCACCATATATATATATATATATATATATATATATATATATGTATGTATGTATGTATGTATAAAAATATTCCCACTCTATTTGGGAAGTAGTTTCAAGTTGGAGTTTTAAAATTATTTTAAAATAAAAAATAAAATAAAGAAATAAAAAAACGTTCAATTCAAATAGGGGCGTAGTTTCTTCGTAATATAGTAGTCTATATAATTATCTATTTTATTATATATATATAAAATAAGTAAATAATTGTATAATGCCAAGTGTTATAACCATAAGACGACCAGTATAGATTTTTAGGACAAAGCACCAACAAAGTTAGAGTTTTAAAATGATTTTATAATAAAAAATTAAATTAAGAAAATAAAAATTGCCAATTCAAATTGGGAATTAGTTTCAAGTTGGAGTTTTAAGACAAAATAAACTTATTTTCTAACTAAAAAAACCTTTTGAATTTTAAATTTTGAATTAATTTGTTATTCTATTTGAACGATATAAATATAGATATCTTATAATTAGCTATGGTAAAAAAATAAAAAAATAAAAATCAAATACCCATTCAATTTGGGGAGTAGTTTCAAGTTGGAGTTTATAAATTATTTATACAAAAAAATTAGATGTAACAAAAAGAGAAAAAATATATATATTAAGAAAACTATGCATTCAAATTAGTAGTTTCAAGTTAGAGTTTCAAAATTATTTTACAATAAAACACGAAAATAAAAATAAAATAAAATTGCCAATACTAATTGGGGAGTAGTTTCAAGTTGGAGTTTAAAAACAAGATAAACTACATTTATAACTAAAAAACCTTTTGGATTTTTAAATTTAAAATTAATTGGTTACTCTATTTGAATTAAAAAATATAGATATCTTATAATTTGCTACAATAAGAAAAACAAAAAAACTAACCATTCAAATTGGGGAGTAGCTTCAAGTCGGAGTTATAGAAATTTTAAAAAACAAAACTGCCATTTAAAATTGGGGAATAGTTTTAACTTGGACTTTTAAAATTATTTTAAAATAATTAAAAATAAAAAAATAAAAAAAGTTTCAATATACGATGCATTTGCTGCAAATTTTAATTACACACACACACACACACATTTAAATTAAAATTAATTGTACATATTGGTAATTTTTTATTAAAATAATAAAAGGCTTATGTCTTTATACTTTTGATAAACTTAAAATTACTATAATTTAGTAAAAAAATATTACTTTATTTAAATTTTCTGTAAATTTCAAAATAAGAAAAATAATCAAATATTACAGTGGAAAAGAATGTACGAAAAGAACGGGATAAAAACAATTTTATGATATTTATAGACCTAATTAATAAATAACAAATAAATAAATAACACTCAATAAAATTATTGATAAATTTAGACAATTGAATATTTTTAAATAGTATAACATAAGTTTTTTTAAATTTATTTTTGAGTAATAAATATATATCTATATTATAAAAAAGAGAAGTAATTCAAAATATAAAAATAATTGACCAATTAATAAATAGTCATATTAATAAATGAATAGTACTAGTACTTGCTAATTTAATACTAATAATAAAGAGTAGTAAGGAACAAATAATTTATTTGATAACTATTTAATGTGTATTCTTTTGTTTTGTATAGATCTTTTTATATTTGTGTACACTACATGAAATAATAAAACAATAACTAATATTTATTAAATATTTTAATATATTAGGTCATAACTTTATAAGAATAATATTCTATTAAATTATCCGTGGGTTCGTACATTATATTAGGATGGGTAAGAATGATCCAAACATAAAACTTAGCCGCCCCAATTCCTTTATCTCTGAAGAACAACGGACAAACCCCATCTCTCACTCTCATTCTCACTCTCACTCTTACACACACCATACTCATAGACTCGCTTCACCATCTGCAGTTTCGTTATTGAGATTTGAAATCGAGGGTAGCTAAGAAACACAAGAGCAGCAGTTGAAAAATACTCCAAATGCCTAAAAATGCTAGTTTAGATCTGTAGCTTCAAAGAGCTATTTGGTTTTCTGTTGATTTGTTGGTTAAACTCTCAAATTGCTGCCGAGTGCTGCTGATTCACTTCATTGCTGATTTTCTATAGCCTGTATTTGGCAAATCCCGATCATTTCTCTGCATCCTAGGTACATATCCCAAACTCTATATGTAAATTCTGGAATTCTAGTAAAATGATTGCTTATCAGCTCCATTTGTTTTCAATCTGTAAAATCGCTGTTGCTAGTTATAATTGCTAGTCCCTGTTTGATCTAATGAATATGTTACTTGTTACTTTATGATTATGATTTCCATGATATGATCCTTTGTTCCTTACTTCAAATCATTTTGGCATTCAAATTACTGAATTAAACACGTTCCCTGCCAATTTGGAATCAAATAAATATGTGCCATATATATATATATATCTTATGTTGATGCGTTATGTATGTACATGATTAATTTAATGACTGCATAAAGAGTGACTGGACTTTGAAAGGCAGTTGTAAACTTACAGTTTAAGCGAAGGCTAGAAATCTCATGGTCATTACTGTAAAAGATTTGGTGTGAGGTTTATGGTTTGACTTTCTTTCACCTTTTGTTGAACTCAAAGTATATTAGTTGCTGTTGGATAAAGAATTTTGACGTAACAGTTTTGCATATGTTTATATCACATGATATGGGTGTGTAACATTTGTGACTATGTGTGAAAACTGCTTGTATTTAGTCAAAGTCGTGGATTGGTCCCTGTAAATTCCATTTCCCCTATGGCCTGTTAAGTTTTCTTCCTGAAAGTGCAGTTGATGAATTGATTCACTGCTTGAAATGGAGTCCTTACACTATATTAGCATTTGATTCCTTGAAACAGTAGTGAGGGTGAAGTATGTTAACTCTTGAATGGGGTAATTTCCTAATGATTCAACATGTGAAGGGCGATCCTTTTGTTTTTTCCAAAATCGGTTCACTTTAATCTCCAGTAATGACTCGATGGTTTATAGCTTCAAATATTATTTTTTCTTAACTTCTCCACAAAACTACAAAAGAAATTATTTTGATAAAGTTTGAAAAAAAATAAACTCTTTTAAGACAACCAAACCCTTTTTTTTGTGTTTTGTTGATTTTTTTCTATTTTTTTTTTTAAAAAGTTTCTTTTTTTCTAAAAAAACATTTTTGTTACTCTTTTTTGAAAATCAAATCTCTTAATTCCTCGGTCCATCAGTTGCTCGCCGTCTCTGCTCCGTCTGCTCTATGTCTCTGCTTTTCTACAGAGGTTCTCTTTTTCTCCTCTTCATATTAATTCCTGTCGTGTTCTAAAATTTGCTAAAATCTTGTTCGTCAAAGGTGCTAACTTAAGACTCTAAACATGAGCTTAATCTTTTCTTTTTTGTGGGGGTTGTGGGAGGGGGGGGGGATTATATACTACCGAGTTTAAACGTGCGCCAATGGCCCTCGAGGATTTGTGGCTTATAGAAAAAACTGAGCTTATTCTTTTTAGTTACTAACATAAAACGTTCAAATCTTAGATCGTTCTGAATTAGCTTAAAATTTTAGTTAAGGTGTTGAACAGTTGAACAAATAAAGAAGTGATTGGAATTACTAGTGTGGGCGGCGTTCATTATGATTGCGTGATTGAACTTTGGTTGAAACTAGTATTGCTTTTATCATTTGATGGACCGATACAAGAATCTAGCATCATCTTTTTGCAGTGCAATTTTCGCCTAGGGTTTATAAGTTGCTAAGTTCACTAATTAAATGGAAAGCTATGACTGACATGTGTCCAGTGGTTTGGGGTGGGGGGTGGGGTGGGAAGAAGACACTAGTATAGCAATATTGTAACTGATTTAAATAAGAGAAGCTTCTTGGTTTCAAATTCATGCTGAAGTAACTTGATACATGGTTCTTGCACATGTTTTTCTATTTAATTTTTGACAGTACATATTCTAAGCATGTCTTGTCTTATATTTTCAGATTTAGCATTCTTTTTGTTCTGTCAACATACACTTCAAGTGTTTGGAGCTGTATTACTCTACAAACAAGACTATAGTGGGACTTGACTATGTTTCTGACAAGCAATGTCCACACGCGCTCTTTTGCATGTGAGTGCGTTTTCTCTATCCCAAGTGAACTCCCAACGTCTCTTTTCCGTGGAGTATGCTGTAAAGTTGTTGAAAAAGTTAGCTGATGATGGGAACTTCAAGTTGGGAAAAGTTGTTCATGCACTTCTTGTTGTTTCTAGTCATGCCTCAGAAGACCACACAATTCAGAATAATTGTCTCATTAATCTCTACTCGAGGTGTGGACAACTTGCTGTTGCTCGGCGGGTGTTTGACAGATTGAGTCAACGAAATGTAGCTTCTTGGAGCATTTTAATGGCAGGGTATTTGCACAATGGGTATGCTTGGGAAGTAACCAAATTGTTCAAAGACATGATTTCAGTGGATAAAATATTCCCAAATGAGTATGTCTTGTCTACTGTACTTTCGTCTTGTTCTAGCGGTCGTTTGCTACACGAAGGGCGGCAGTGTCATGCGTTAGTGTTGAAATCAGGATTAATGTTTCACCAATATGTGAAGAATGCTCTTTTATCCTTGTATACAATGTCTTCAGATATGGAAGGGGTTCTGGAAACCTTGAAGTCTGTTCCTGGATTAGACATCATTACTTATAATTCTGTACTGAAGGGGTTCTTGGATCATGGGTATACAAGTGAAGCATTGGATGTTTTCTCAAGGATGTTGGCTGACGGCTCCGCGGGGGATAGTGTCAGTTACGTGAACATATTTGGTCTTTGTGCTCGCCTCAAGGATTTGAAGTTGGGTAAACAAGTTCACTGCAGAATGCTGAAGTCTGGTCTTCAGCTTGATGTGTTTCTAAGTAGTGCAATCGTGGACATGTACGGAAAGTGTGGTGAAATTTCAGGTGCAAGATATATTTTTGATTCGTATCCTAACCATAATGTGGTGTCTTGGACGGCAATCTTGGCTGCAAATTTCCAAAATGAATGCTTTGAGGAAGCCCTGAAACTGTTCTTACGAATGGAATTTCAGGATGTTGTGCCAAATGAATACACATTCGCAGTGTTGTTGAATTCCTGTGCGGGTCTATCAGCACTTGGTTGCGGGAAAACATTACATGCACGTGTTGAGAAGAGAGGACATGGAGCTTTTGTTGTAGTTGGGAATGCTTTGATCAATATGTATTTTAGGAGTGGCCATATCGAAGCCGCTAGGGCCTTGTTTTCAAACATGATATCTCGAGATACTGTTACTTGGAATATGATAATATCAGGTTTCTCTCATCATGGGCTTGGTGAGGAAGCATTGGATGTGTTTCAGCACATGTTAGCCGTCGAAGAGCAACCAAACTATGTAACCTTTGTCGGGGTTCTTTTGGCTTGTGGACATTTGGGTAGAATAGAAGAAGGATTTTACTACTTGCAGCATCTAATGAGGGACATCGGCCTTGAACCTGGGTTAGAGCACTATACCTGTGTTGTTGGGCTCCTAGGTAAAGCTGGAAAACTTGATGAGGCTGAGAATTTCATGAGGTCGACGCCAATCACATGGGATGTCGTTGCCTGGCGTACGTTGCTTAATGCTTGTAATGTCCACCGCAATTATGATTTAGGAAAGAGAGTAGCAGAGCATTTGTTGCAATTGAATCCCAACGATGTGGGAACCTATATCCTGTTGTCCAATATGCATGCCAAGGTGAAAAGGTGGGATGGAGTAGCAAAGATACGGAAGCTATTAAGAGAAAGGAACATAAAGAAAGAACCTGGATTGAGCTGGACTGAAATAAGAAATGAAACTCATGTGTTTGTTTCTGATGACACTCAACACCCAGAGACGGCTCAAATCCATGAGAAGGTGAGAAAATTGTTGGCTGATATAAAACCGTTGGGTTATGTTCCAGACACAACTTCTGTCTTGCATGATGTCGAGCAAGAACAACAAGAAGGTTATCTTAGTTACCACAGCGAAAAGCTGGCTGTAGCATATGCTCTCATGAAAACACCATCCCAAGCGCCAATTCATGTTATTAAGAATCTCAGAATATGTGATGATTGCCATTCTGCTTTGAAGCTTATCTCAAAGGTCACAATGAGAATGATAGTTGTAAGAGATGTCAATCGGTTCCACAGCTTTCAAGATGGGTCCTGTTCCTGTGCAGATTACTGGTGAGAAATACAAGATTGACATATAGTGTCTTACAAGGTGTCAAAGGAGAATTTTGCATGTTGCTATGTGTGATTGGTAAAGAAGCTCACATAATCATATTCTCAGCCAACCAGAGGTAGTGAGTTTGAACAAAGCTTTTTTAACCACCTATTCATCATATAGTAAGTTTGTTTCTAGTTTCGAAAGTACCAGTAATATTTATAGCATCGGAATATACAAGCTAAAAAGAATTGATTATTAAAGCAGCAAAGTGCATCATCTAGTATGAAATGTTAAAATGTAAGCGAAGGATCTGCTATAGCTGACTAGACATATAAATATATATGTGACTACCTTCTTTCCTTATGTTAGCCATTCTTCCTATCTCAATGGAGATCAGGAAGTTGCAGATGAAGCTTAATGCTAAAAGTATGAAAAGGGAAACAGTCCAGTTTAATAGAATTCTTGAATTCTCCCCACAGATTAACAATCTGCTTCCAGACAGCAATTCCACTAGGGGAATCCACCGGTTTAGCATCACAAAAACCCTTTTTCAAATACTTAGTGATAATAAGTAATAACTGTTTCCATAAAGCAGCTTTCCCATCGTTAAGCCTCCACAACCATTTACATGGCAAGCCTCTGTTATATTCTAGTATCCTCACCCCAAGTCAACCTCCTTTTTTCATATTTTGATTTTTTGCTACCTAAGCAAATGCAATTTTCTAATTTCAGCATTACCATCCTATAAGAAATTATTTCTAAGACTGTTTATTCTCTTCTCCACCTTCACTCGAATAGGCAAAAGTTACATTAAAAAGGTTGGTATACCTTAGAGTGATGTTCGGAGAAATTGGAGGGCATGGTTATGTATTTTTCTTGAAGGCATCCACTTCTTTTATGTGTACGCTGTATCTTATGACTGAGGTTTTCTTATTTCTGTCAGTTTTTGGGGTGTAAGCACTTAAAGAACAATTAATGTGTCGCATGCGTGCTCCCTATGTGCACCTCTAGTAAACGTGAATGGAAATAAAAATGCGATCATTCAGTCTCTGTTTCTGAGGGAGGATTATAAATTGCGTGAAGGTTGTCGGCATTTTCCTTAACTGTCTTCATTTCTGTTCTTTTTTTGACGACTGAGCAAAAAACGGCTTTCAGTTCTATTTTTACAAGTTTTCCTGCAGGTTCCTGAGTGAGCTGCAGCCGCTGCTGCACTGCACGTGTTCTAGCTGGACTACCTCCCCATCAGAGACATGCTCTGTCATCAAGCTCAGAGGAATTGAGCTCTATATATGGGAGCAAACAGCCTGGTCAAGTTGTCGAGGAGCTGGAGGAAGAATTCTATTAAGAGGTTTCACCTTCTGCATTTTAATAAATATTTTAGTTGCGTGTCTTTCTGTTCTGTACGTTCTCTAGTGGATCATTGGTATAGTATGATGATGATCCTAATACAGATTTCATTGATGTGATAATATTTGGCCTTTGCTAATGAGCCAAATGAAAGTCGTTGTATACCTCATTTCTTATATATTGGCAAGATCTGCATCAATCTTTGCACGAGTACTATTGGAGTAGTTACCAGGCTTATGATCTGTAATTCCCCGACTTCTTCTTCCCCAGGATTTATGTAACAAAGCTCTTTCCATGAACTTTAAACAGGGTTAGCGCTATCAGTCTCTATAAGTTGTCATGCTGTTGTTGCTTGTAGTTTGATTGCTATTGGATAATTACCTCTAATTTTCTTCTCATGATGCAAGTTTTTGATTTTTCTTTGCGTTCTTAGTCAAAATTCTTCCATCAGCTCAATCCAGACTTCGCTCTTTTGAAAGTATTACCTGCACACTTAACATTTGTTGAGAAACCAGTGTTTATGAATTGTAGACAAGAAATGCCAATCGTGGGTGGACTTTCTACTAATTACAGTTTGGTGTGGGTGTAGACTGAAAGGATTGGCCTGCATGTTAGGCTATTACTTCTGTCAGCAAACAACTCATGTCTTTTATTAGTTCTTTCATCAAGATTGTTCTGTTAATGAACCTAGCTTTCATTCGTGTGAAAGCTGCAGCGTATGCATGGGTTTTTGTCTTTCTACATGGAAAGGATCTTTGAGTACAACATACATCTTGATTCCTGGCCATGTTATTTACTTGTTATCTTCCTCCATTGCCAATCTGTTGGAGATCTATTTTTTATTCCCTTAGTCGCTTCAACTTTTATTTTCTTTTCTTCCCCTTAGTTGTCTCCGTACTTGAGCATTTGCAATCCATATCACTCCAATTCTCGTGATGGTTCCTGGGATATCTACATGTAGGAATTTGATCCTGTCGGACATATTCTGGAGCATATTCCTTCTGAAGATGGTGAACTAGCTTACTTGGAAGAACAGGTACTTGCAATTCTTTCTTTTTGGTGCTGAGGGAGAATTCTTTATTTGATTTGCCATATGCTTGTCATTGTACAAGTTTAATTGTTGTTTGTTATGTTTAACTGTATATCAATTAGCAAGAGAGTATTTTGTTTTAAGATATAAGAATTGTTATCCTCTTTATGCTTTATGAAGAATCTGAAAGTTATTACTTCCGCTGCAAATATGTACCCTATATCTGCATCAGATTACTTTGTTGGCAAAGAAACAGTCACCTTTAATTGTTGGCTGATAAAAAGAAGGTGGTGCTTGATCTATGTTGGGTTCAATAGGCTCATGGCAATACACACTAGTTTTAGATCCAGTGATCCAGCCAATTATGCCTTGGGTAATGATACATTCCAGTACAGATCCACAAAAATATAGGCATAACCGTCCTCATGCCCCTCAAAGTTCTGGTTCAACGGTGAAGGGGATACATCGTGGGATGGGTGGTAGTCGCACGTCACGAGTTTGAATCCTGGTTGGGGACCAAGTCTAGTATTTAAGTGGAGAACGGTAGAGGGGGCCATTATCCCCCGAAATTTGAAGCTGGAAAACGAATTTCTTGGTAAAAAAAAAAAGAATAATCGCCGTCATTTGGATGTTAAAATGTCCCATTGAGTTGTTTAGACATTTCCTTTTGCAAGTGGATTGTGGCAAAAATCATTTGGGTTATTTGGCAATTTTGTGGGGATTCCATATTCAGTCAGTTAATGTTTAACGGACAAAATGGTGGCACAATGAATGGTAAACTTCTCTTGCAAGGTGTTTTATTGACTATTCTATGGCGCATTTGGATTTTAGATAGAGTGTAAGCCCAGAACTCTCCCTTTTTTTAAGATAAGGAGTGTAAGCTCAGATCTCTTCTCGAGTGGTCTCTTTCGCAGCAAGATGCTTGGGTACAACAGTCTTCCTCCATTCTTTGTGTGTAAAGCAATTTACCACTTGCATAATGTTTCTCTTACAATCTTCCACAAGATTTGGGGAACTTTGTTATTCGACGTGGATTGATCATTGATGACATGTACTCATCTTTTATTCCTTTCATATCAATTTGAGTTGTTTTTTCTTATTAAAGAAAGAAGAATAACGGTCAAAGGGACATGGCTCTAAACTGTCCACTCTCTTGGCGCTACTCTCTTTACTGTATATATACTTGATGTAAGTTGGATAGTCAACATAAATGTGCAGTCCAGCTCATTGGTTTAAGCAAGCTTTATACTCGTATTATTTTTGAGTATTTTGACTAGTAAAGTATTTTAACATTTTACTTAAAGCGTAGTCCCATCTCAACAAAAAATCAGAGTGAAAAATGATATTTTGTGAAAACTGGAGAAGGCGGACTAGAAATGAGTTCTATTCTCGTTTGTATTTCTTCTCTATGTTTGGGGGCCCCAAGCATGTTGAAGATTGTTTCTTATGCAATTTGTTATTTGTCTGCATGCCAAGAGGGTAAGCTTGGAAGTATGCTACTAATATTTTGCTATTGGTGTATGTGGTAGTATACTAGTTGAATATTCCACTCTATCTTTGATCTTGTACTAGTTTTTTAACATTTATTTGTTGTAAAAAATAATTAATATTATTTGTTGTACGACTTGGTAATCTGCAATGACGTAAAGGAGCTTGTTTTCCTCGATTTTTGCCTTTATTATATGGAATTGAATCCATTTCTTTTTTCAGCTTCTTTCCTATTTTGTCACCAATTCTCGTTTCATCGGAAAAGCAACTCATAGTAGAAACAAACATAGGGACCACATTTTATAATTGGCTTTGTCATGGATAAAAGATCCCCAGAACTTTTTACCAGTATGCTTTTATGAGACATGTATCAACTGTATAAATGAATGCTTCATTACTAAAAAAATTAATTCTGCTTTGTATTAAACTGTAGGCTGCTCTAGATTAGCACAGCTGGACAGAATTTCTGAACGCTTGTCACGCCATGTCATGGAGCATTATGAAGTAATGGGTAAGAGATGTTCTTGGTGCCGTTTTCTTGAATCTACTGGAACCATTTAGACTTACTTATGCATGCCTTTGTACAAGTATTATGCAGAACTGCTTGCTTGACAGCCCCAGGTGTGGGGGATGAGAGTTGTAATAAAGGGTAAAATATTTTCATGTTTGTGATTGATTTCAGTTTTACGAGAAGTGGCAATGCTTTTGGTTGAGATTTGATAAAGTAGCATGTGTATAGAAGAATTACCCTATAAATTTGATCGGTACTTCTCTTACTCGGAAGAATGACCTGTGGAAATTCATGACATAAAAGATATGGACTATTGCGGTATGTCTAAGAAATTTGTTAGACCCTCAATTTACATGTAATTTTTTGTTATTTGTATAAAAAAGAAATTGTTCAAGCTTTTACTTGCCTGTGAGTTAGTCACATTTCTACAGAGCCATCAGTCAAAGCTCAATCTTAACTCGCATCATTCGTATTTGATTTGTTAAGTCTTATAATGACATTAGTGGAGAGTTGTGCTTGATAATCTCTATACTCAACCTCAAATTCGTGAAAATGTTCATCATCTGGGGTGCTCGTGTAGTGTTTGGAGAAATATTGATTGGTTATGCAGCCTAACTCATGTACGCATGTTTTATACGAAGTCATTTAAGTCAGATTTAGTAATTTGATCATTAGAGACCCTTCATTAGAGTTATCCTGCATGTGTTTTTGCACCCTCAGCATGATAAGATATTAAGCTAGCGTTTGGGCATAGATTCCCAAATTTGTTTTGAAAAATCTGATTTGGATGAAGTTTGGTTTGAAGATGAAAATGTGTTTGGACATCAGTTTTCAAAACATACTTCCCAAATTTATTTTGGAAAAAACATGAAACATGACTTATACCCACAAGTTCTAAAAACTATCACAAATACCCAACAGTACCATTATCAATAACATTCATTATATTATCGCAAACCATAGTCCTGAACATAAATAAATTTGGTACAAAATTATCATTTTTATAATGAACTACATGATACCCTATCAAATGACCGAGAAGACGAAGCAACATTGTTACAAAATAATAAATGGTGGGCTCTTTTATAAAATACAAAAGTTTGGGGCAATTTTTAAAAAATGTAATAGTAGTATTTTGCCCCAAAACCAGCTATTGAGTTGGTTTTGGGATTTTGCCAAAATGTAGGCAAATTCTATGACCAAACATGTGTTTGCCAAATAAAACCCAAATTTATTTGGCAAAATCTATGGCCAAACTGGTCCTAAATATCTTTTCAATACAGGCTCTCAAGATGATGCCAGAAAAGGAGAATTGGCGGAGACAACAGAAGTAGTAAGCTTTGCTGGGCTGGTTGGTGATGGAGCAGCTTTGATAGTTTCATCTGAAACCTCTCCCAATGCTCAACTGCCACGTAAATCTGTACATCCTATACAAACTGACTCGAAGAGGAATGGATTTTCATGTTGGCTTACGGGTGGAAACCCGTTTCTGCCTAAACTAAATGGTAGTTCGAAGGAATACTTGGGACTCTTGTTTGCTTAATGGATCTGCAACGCAAGAAAGTGGAAACTCCAATGAAGATTCTTTTGATAAGAGTTCTTCTTTGACAAACAGTGACGTAAATCATGTCAAGGGGAATGCTTCTTTATCTGAAGATGAAAATGAAGATCTTCATGCTGATTTTATGACGAAGATAGCCAATTACCTAGCCGGATTGCTAAACCTGGTCATTCAAGAAATCGCTCTTCGCATTGGAACAATGAACAAATAAAAGCACAAACAGGATCATCACTTAGCCTCCTGAGGTATATACTGGTCATACTTGGATATGCTGATGATGATGGTGATGAATTCTGTCAAGCTGAACATAAATGCAACACAGGTCATTGGATAAATATGCGAGGTTGATTCAGAAGTTAGAGATTGTTAATGTTGAGTTCTTTAAGGTACTTTTATTGCCTTTAGATGACATTGATCTCCAATAAATATTCATTCTGCCTGGTGATTTTCTTTTGTATTCTTCTCTTCTTTCTTCTTCTTGAATATAATTTCCTCAACAGGGGTTTTGCCAATTGTTTGGGACTTCTTTCACTTTGTCTTTGAGACCTTTGGTCAGCAAAGTACTCATCCTAGTGGAAAGGCTGTGTCTGACACTCTGTCGTGTAAGTAATTTTATTCATTCACTTCCTCCCATAGTTTCAAAGGAATTAATAAATATCCATCTTTTATTGCATTTTTATAAATCTTTTTCTCCTCCATTCAATTTTCTTGTAAGATATTAAATATTTGGGAAAAGGTCCAAAATTGTCCCTCTACTATGGTATATAGTTTAAATTTGTCCCCCGTTGTACTTTTCGTTCAGATCCACCCCTACCGTTAATAAACTTTCTAGAATTGCCCTTAACTCTAACGTCCCTCCATCGTGGCACCCAATCATTCTATTAATTTGTCCATGTCAGCTGCCATTTCAGCAAGTCCCACACACTAAAAGTCACAGAAAATAATTTTTTACTCTTTCTTTTCTTTCTTTCACTTTTTTCCCCTCTTTTTCTATTTCTTCACGTTTTCATGTTCTTCTCCGGTGACCAAAATTTTCAAAGGAAAGCCATTTCTTTCCCTACTTTCTCAAAACCCAGATCTGATTTCAAGGTAAACAATAAGACAAAGAACCGACCAAATCTATACACCAAGATCCATGGAATCACATGCAAAAAACTATAGAAAATACTAAAAAATTTCAAAAATCTGATTTCAATATTGTTTTAAGTTTGAGTCTTTCAAGTTAAATATGGCCATATGCGTTTTTCTTTCTACCCAAATAAATCTGATCCATTAGATTTAAAAGTGGAGATTTAAGAGGTGTCTGATCCATAGAATTTTTTTTTTTTTGAAATTTAAGAAGTCTCATCTCCATTTTCGCATATGCTTTAATTTTTTACCTTTTATTTTTGTGCTGCTAAAGTCTTAAGCTCTCTAACTCTGGGTAGTTGATTTTATGTCATCTTAAGCTCTCTAACTCAGCTGGGTAGTTGATTTTATGTCATTTTCACCGAAATCTAGTATCACAAAATGTTACCGGTAAATTCTAATTTGGAAGGATCTGAGAAATTTGACCTACGTTTGTGTTTGCACATAAAAAGATGCATGGAGTTAGCATCAATGATGTTGTTAGGTTCTTTGTGTATGATGGGGCTGATATGTCTGTCGGGCTTAACAATGGCGGGAATTGGGAATTTTAAAGAGATGAAAGAAGACGATGAGGGTGGGTGTGTCCCATATTGCCATGTGTTTGGTTGTAGAATTCAATAAGCTCCGGGGAAAATTGGGTCCGGGTTATGGGTAAAAATCAGGGTCGGTTTTAATTCGAACCGGGTATTAAAATTGGGGGTGGGTTTAGTGTGTGGGACTTGCTGATATGGCAGCTAACATGGACAAATTAATAGAGGGATTGGGTGCCACGGTGGAGGGATGTTAGGGTTTAGGGCAATTCTAGAAAGTTTGTTAACGGTAGGGCTAGATCTGAACGAAAAGTATAACGGGGGACAAACTTAAACTATATACCATAGTAGAGGGGTAATTTTGGACCTTTTCCCTAAATATTTTGCCTGCCTTTTGTCCTTTATAAAGCCCTGTTTCTCTTATAGTCCCCAGATAGGCTTAAGACTGCATTATCACGAATAACACAGGATTGTGACCAATGGATGAAACCCCAGTCTCAATCATTTTCCTCCTTTCCTCCCTCCAGAAGGGGAGCCTTGGCGTAACTGGTAAGGTTGCTGCCATGTGACCAGGAGGTCATAGATTTAAGCCGTGGAAACAGCCACTTGCAGAAATACAGGGTAAGGCTGTGTACAATAGACCCTTGTGGTCCGACCCTTCCCCGGCCTCCCGCATAGCGGGAGCTTTAGTGCACCGGGCTGCCCTTTTGCCTCCCTCCAGCTCAAGCACATCATTTTCTCACATGGATGTCACTCCTACTAGCCTGCCAAGTTACTTAACTGGTGCATCCCTGGGACTGAAGGTACTTCTGTACAAAAGTTATGGTTTGTGGGATGTTTTTTTTCCTAATGTCTGGTCCACTTCTTAGATAATTGAACTGGTACTGGTATTGCTACTTGCTTGGTCAATTGAGATGGTACTTGCTCTCTGACCTTTCTCCTCAGTTCTTGCTAGACAAGTGGGTTGGGATGTTCTTGGAGAATACAAAAATGAGCTTATAATTTCATCTCCATCTTAAAGCCCCATGATCAAGTTGGGTCCAATATTTGGCGTGTCTTGATATGTATGCTTTACCTTTCTTCCTCTTATGTGTTTAAACTACTACAGGCTTCATTTTACCTTGAACCGTCAAATGGACGGCAACGAATACTGATGTGTTAAAATCTACTCCCTTCATTTGTGTAGTCCTTTCCTCATAAAGAGCTCTAAATCATGAAAGGTTATTGGTTAGGAATCAGAGCTATATAAATAAATGGTTATAAGAAAATTAATATTTTCTTGGGAGAATACAACTAGTGAGCTTAAAGTTGAATTTTCCTAATTTCATATCCATCTTAAAGCTTCATGATCAAGTTGCTACCCGATATTTGGCATGTCTTGATATCAATGCTTCACCTTACTGCTGGCTTCATTTTACCTAGATTTATTTCATTTCGATTAACACAGAAATCCTGATTATCATTCACATGAGTGTGGGAAGGTTCTTTTTTCAAATTATTGTAAAGAACAATATACCAACTAAACAACCATAAAAACCACATCCTTCGATTCAGTAGAATTACAAGGAGAAAGGAAGAGTTTCTCTACTTGTCTTGATGCTTTTTTCCCCACAAGGGTCCTATCCTAACTTCTTCACAGGAAAACATTTTTGGGGAAACAAACTTAGAAAATGATTAAGGTAGAGGCAGACCACCACTCACCGAAACAATGGCGCATTTTCTCTTGTATATCCAAGCAATTCTAGTGTCTAGTTTTCAAATTCCAACTTCGGAATTCATTTCAAATACTAATTGACTGTATCTTATATAGTCAATTTGTGATAGATTTCCTCAGTTGCATAGATTCTATGGACTGATACCTGTTGCTTCATCTGTGAGTTATGTGCATTTTTCAATCTGTATCCTTATAAAATTCCTGCCATGTTTCTTCTTTTCGCCTTCTGAACAGAATTAGCTATAACATGATGGCATTGTAATTAGGTGTTCATATGTGCACAAACTTATTGAGTTCATAAATTGTTTATGTTTGTGTTTGTTTGATCAAGCTGGAAACACAGTTGCCAGTATCTTACGATCAGTGGCGGAGACATGTTTAATGCCAAGGGGGTTCAAAAAAAGAAAAAAGTTCAAAAGGTTGAGGCTGGTGGGAATAGAACCATTGACCTTACAAAGGTTTTGAACCCCCTTGACCACTAAGCTATACTTTTGGGCCGTGTCAAGGGAGTTCAAAACATAATATATAGAGTAAAAAATAAATTTTGCCTTAAATATACCGTGTAATTTTTCGGCGAAGGGGTGCGGGTGAACACCCTTCCGCCCCTGCTTACGATATGCACTGTAATGCATTACTGATTGTATCATTTGACGTATCGTTCCAATTTGTATCTTATTATTTCTGTACTTATCTTAAAATTCTTGTACAATATAATTCAGGTTATGCCAACTGAGAATGAAATGTTCTGCAAAAATAATCGGGTGGGCAGTTTTCAAAGTGAAGACTTGATTCACATGACTTCTGTCTAGTTTTCAGGGAGGATATCTAAGCTGTCACTGATGCTTGGATGCTGAGAATCTCTTCAAAGATGACTTTTTTGGGTATAACATTCGATATGCGTAGGACCATTAAATGGGAAAGCGCCTTCCTACCAGGAACTTCTTCATTCATAGCGCTTCCTACCAGGAACTTCTTTATTCATGACTAAAACTCGAGACCTTTGGTTAAGGATGAAGCGATTCCATTCATCCTACAATGTCCCTTGGTGGTAAAAGAGTAGATGCCAACTAGGAAAAATATGAGCTCAATGCTTCATCTAAGGGCGTTTTCCTATGATGTAACAGGAGTGGAAAACATTCTCTTTAGAAAAATATTTTACTTGAGGCAACAATTTTGGAGACAATTTCTTTGTGTTGGATGACTCAAGGATAAGTCTAGTTATTTACTTTGGACATATTATTTTAGAGAATCTCATTTTAGGTGAAGATCTTTACATAAATTAGGTCTAGGATTTGAAGTTAGTGAAGGTAAATAAAGACATTAAGTGTTCGTCTCAACTATTAAAATTTGTTAATATAGTCAAATTGTACAATACAAAGTTTCTTCTAAACATCTTTATTTAATTAATCTCGATTCATAGATGTTTATATGTATTAAGATAAGAATTTTGAAATTTGTTCTTAAATGTTGTCTAATATTTTCAGACTATTAAATCACTTAAAAGTTAGTTACATGTAACCTTCTATAACAAGCTTTGATCGGTGATAAGCAAGATATCGTATTAAAATCTTTCAAAATGGTAAAGTTCAACCTTTTAAATTATAATTATAAATAAAATAAATTTGCTGATATATAGAAATAAGTAGTTACTCATCCAATCGCTTAATTAAAAATAATCGATAAATCTATAATTTATATAATTCATGTATAATATATATATATATAATCATGTATAATAATATGTAATCAAATATGAACTGGACAAGAAAAGTAAATAGTGATTCCAACCGCCACTTGTCTAAAGATCCCTTTTTTTTTTCTCACTCAATAAAACTGAAAAGTTCGCTGGTGCAAGAAGCACAAGGTCCAAGATTCGGTAAATAATCACATACCTCTATCTTTCTCCACTTAAATACTAGTCAATGACCGGGTTTAACCCCATAACATGCGCGTAACGCACACACCACGGATAACGCTCATGCCACTAGACTAGTAGAACCCTAATAAAACAAAGATTTTAGGATAAAGAAAGAAAGTAACAAGTCCATCATTTACCATATTTATGGTTTTCTCCGGTCAAACCACCAGCAATACCTGTTTTGGAAATTTTCATTTTTGGCAAGTGCCACAAAATCATTGCATCCACAATTTAGAAGCCATGAAAAGAGGACAAAAAGCAACCGCCATAAGCTTCTTCAAGTCTACATGGTTAAAACAATTTAGAGTTCTTTTTCTTATTTCCACCAAGTGAAGTTGGGAGTGGCCCAGAACTGGCAACCAACTTGTAAAATATCATTTGTGAGTTAAATCTACTTATCCACCAAGCCGGCTTGGTTCTTAACTCTGCGAGCACATTCTGCAAAATTTTGAACCACATTAGCACAATTTAGGGGATCCTTTTCGTGTTCCTTGTAGCATTTCACACAAGCATCTCTCTCGTCCACGCAGGGGATAGGCTTTTTATTCGGAAGCTTGAACTCCTTATCGTGCAGATCCTTCGCCTTTTGTGTCACTTCTTGCAACATATTTTCCTCCTGTTTCTGCAACCTCTCCAAAACCTTCTCACTCTCTTTGAGGACAGATCGAATAGCATCTAATTCCGCGATTGCAGGTTGAGGTTGAGGCGGGACTGGCATGAATAAAGGAGGCTGAACAGGCCATCCTGTAGCAGCAGGCCCCTTCACTACGTCAGGATCACTAGAGATTGGCTTCTGATGCACATTAGCCTGCGCTGTTTTGTTCTCTCTTTGTATCTTTGTTTTTGGCTTCCTTGTTTTTTTCTTCAGTTTTTCACCATCATCAGCAAGTTGTTTGACTAAATTGCTGCTGATCTGTATAGTGAATGATTCACCCATGGCGACAGCAACTCTTCACAAGTATCTGAAATCAATCCATTAAGCATATAAAATGACAACTTGAAGCAATATGAGAAAATTTGCATCTCAATAAAGGCAAGGCAACATAATATTAAAAATTTGCAGCAGTAAATCATACAGATTCAACATGACATACTTCTGGAACACTTCCTCTTCTTTTCTTATGTTAAAGTTTTCATTACGAAGAGAGTAACTAGCCGATCAATATAAGTGCAGGATCGTTCAAACCCAGTGTCACCAGATTGCAGCATTGATTCATGTATATGTATGTATAAAGAGTCTTAAACAAACGCTAGACAACAAAATCTTTAAAATATATATATATATATATATATATATATATATATATATCTAACAACATTTACTAATAAGAAAGACCAAGCACATGCAAAAGTAAATATGATAGGCCACTGAAGAAACAGGGAAATCTAATTGATTCAGTTAGAAATAATAAAGTAGTAAGGAGACTCTTCAGCTCCACTTCACAGTAGATAAAACGGGATATAGGAAAGAATGTCACCAACAAGAAATCATAACCCAAAACAAATATGTTCTAAACTGAAATGGGAGGTCAGAGTTGTAAGCAGAATAAAAACAATCTAACAACAAAAGTGAACATACAGTGTAACTAAATGCATAGATGGATCTCAGGAAAATGGCAAACAGAAATGCAAACTTAAGGGTATTTTTCCTTCGGGTGGATGTTTTTCAGTGGTGACAGGAAACATGCAAAGAACTAGGGAGGTCAACTTTTTGTTTGGACGGAGGCATGGGAACCAAAGAGGAAAAACTGAGGCAAAGGAAACTAATACATTCCTATGTGCTTCTTATGTACAGAGACTAGGGAGAATGTCAACCATCTCATGATCCACTCAAAGTTAAACTCGAATAACAAGAGTGGCTAAAAAGAATTCAGGTATACTGAAGAGTTGGAGAACACGCGTAGGAGATGTAGAAGAGACAGAGCTTGCAACAAGCAGCGACCACATGGAAAGAGAGAAATTTGTGAATGTCAATAGAATAATTGCAAATGATTTTGCTGCTTTTGTCTATTTTGGAGCACATATGGCAAATCCATTCGAACAAATCAATAAGATGAAACTCTTCTTAGGATTTGGTGTATACCTCTTGATAATGAACCATCTAGTATTAAGAAATAAAGGGAAACAAATAAAGGAATTACCACCATACAAGGTCAGCTGATCGTCCACTGGTTAATGTGTGCCCATTTGATCAACTAAAACAATTGGATATCTTAAAAGGAAAAGTCCCACCAGAAATAAGATTGAACTGAATTATGGTAGTATGACATTCAAAGAGAAAGGGTACTTCATATCCATCAACCAGCCATTTCATTTTCGTTTATTCAGCAATCAAAAGTGCCAAGGGTTACTGGAACTTTAAGCTTAAAGCACATAATGTCTGAGCAGTTATATATCATGCACGGAAAAGAACAGCTATAAACACAAACGACAATTAGATGGGTATACGAATTGCCAAAAAGATTAGTGAAGTGAATACATAACAACCATCAAATGAACAAAATGCAAACATGTTTGCAATTTAAGGAATTAATCTGACATAAGATAGAACGAAAGGAGCTTATGAGTTATGACATACAACTATTAAATGAAATTGGGTCATTTCTTGGAATATCATGGGCACCCAGATGCAAACAGAGTCACGAATGTTATGGTGAATATTTTTTATTTTTTTATAATCGAGAAATCCTCGAGGACTAATGGCATCGGCCCGCCCCTCTATCTTCTCTACTAACTTAAATACTAGGCTTTTATCTATGGCAGAGTTGGAACCTATGGTGTGAACATAACCCACCCATCACACGCTGCACTCTTACCAATAGATCAAAGCCTCAGGGGCAAATCTTATGGTGCATAATGAACACAGACAACAAGAAAACATAGGTAATCCGAAGAAGCAAAAACAGCAGTGGGGGATCCATGTTAGAGGTCGAGGGAGCACAAAAGTATCAGTAGTTAGTCATCTAGATTTTCAAAAATTCAACTGAAAGACCAGGCATGGTAGACACCCAATTTCCCCTACTCTGTACTAGCAAAGGAGCACCTCCTGCACGGGGTAAGCCCGTCCTTTCTTTTTTGCTTATCGAGAAATCTGTCGGGGGCCAATTCTTAGGACCAAATACAACCTCCAAAACACGGGTATAATGGGCACGCCCCTCTACCCTTCCCACTTCAATAACAGCTTAATCCGCATGAAGCAAGCATCAAACTTGTGACCAAAGTCTCAATTCCCTCAACCTTTACCACTTGAACTAAGCCCATCTAGATTTTCAGATAGCTGATTCTTACTTCTTAAAGAAAACTTAGTATACCCATCACAAATTTGAGCAATTATAACTTTGAAAGTAAATAACCATAAAGTCCCAAGCTCAAATCCCAACGGAGACAAAAACACTAGACTATTTCTTCCCATCTAATTAACGAGTCATCGTGGACCGAGTTACCTGGTACCTAAATTGCTGGTGGGAGGTCGCAAGTATCCCATGGAATTAGTCGATGTGCGCGCGGATACCACGGTTATAAAAATCACATAAACTTGCAAAAATCACAAGGAACAATAATATCACAGCTGAGCAAACACAGCATTACAAACGAATTTACTAAATTTTGAGTTTTACCAATTAAATATCACTGATAAAAGGGAAAAGGGTTGTGCTTTAATTACAGAAATAGAAGCAAACGAAGCATTACAAATCAAAATTCACTGCCTTAACCCATTACCATTATTGCAACCAAAAAAAAGGATAAAAGTTTGGTCTAATTATATATGAAAATAAAGGGGAAAATATGTAGAAAAATGGATACGTACAGTTTTGATTCGGACAGGAAAACAGTGAGAAGATCCTGCGGTAATGAGATGGGGGAAGAGAGACTGTAGAGAGGAGATTTTGGCAAGAATTCTTACGCAAGAAAATGGATGAATTTGGGGCTCAAAGTTGTTTGTTTTTCATCCGGCCCGTTACATTAAATTTGGGCTTGGACTAATACCCTTCCATTCTAATGGGCTCAATCATATATTTATGAAAAAACTACCATCTATAACCCCTCAAAATTTTAATAGCCCATATTTTTCTCCACTGACAGAAGAGTAAAAATTGTATGGGATAGCCACTTTTTAAAGTGGTATTTACTTTTTATCCAGTATTTTGAATGCTTAATAATAGTAACCACTAGTCTATTAAAATTAATATGAAAAGGATGTGTTACCCTTTCTTTGGAAGGATCAAACTCGAAGGGATGATCAGAGTTCTCAAGCTGAAAAGTCTCCCTTCAATTCAATTGAAATCAGCTTTAAAATGCTTTAAAATAATAATAGGCATATATACATACATGTATATCTATATATTTGCATAGCTTACAGGAGAGAGAGAAGTAGACCAATGGGGATGAAAGTGAAAAGCAGTTAAACTCGATCACGAAATCTCACTGTATTCGTAAATATAAATAGGCAAGAGTAAAACATAGAGACATACTAGTATATAACTTTTTTTGTGAAAAGATACAAATAACGTTTGGTTATCTGCTACGTTATGGATCCTAAACTTACAGTTACAAGTTCAAAAGTTAAGGACACTTGGTCCTGAACTTCGAGTTCCAAGTTCAAAAGTTAAGGACACTTGGTCCTGAACTTAGAATTACAAGTTCAAAAGTTAAGGACACTTGGTCCTGAACTTAGACTAACAAGCTCAAAAGTTAAGGACAATAGGTCCTGAACTTACAGTTACAAGTTCAAAAGTTAAGGACAATAGGTCTTGAAGTCCTGAACTTAGACTAACAAGCTCAAAAGTTAAGGACAATAGGTCCTGAACTTAGGCTAAGAAGCCCAAAGTTAAGGACAATAGGTCCTAAACTTAGACTAACAAACTCAAAAGTTAAGGACACTTGGTCCTCAACTTACAGTTACAAGTTCAAAAGTTAAGGACATGTAGTCCTGAAGTTAAGTTCAAAAGCTAAGGACATGTAGTCCTGAAGTCCTCAACTTAGAATTCCAAGTTCAAAAGTTAAGGACATGTAGTCCTGAAGTCCTGAACTTAGAGTTACAAGTTCAAAAGTTAAGGACATGTAGTCCTGAAGTCCTGAACTTAGAGTTACAAGTTCAAAAGTTAAGAACATGAGGAGAAGGGTATTTTCGTCCGGGCAGTTAAAGTTTATTAAAGCATTGGCTAAAGACTAAAGACATTTTAAACAGTGGCTTAAAAGTAAATACATGTGTTATTAGTGGCTAACCGTGCACTTTCCCGACAGAAGATGGCCCTTCGGCCCAAACATATTACATCTAATAGCCCGCAATGTCTATTTTCTATATTTTTTGTATAGAGACAGTCTATTTTATATATTTGTTGTATAGTTACAGTCTATTTTGTATAATGACAGTCTATTTTATATATTTTTTGTACAATGACAGTCTATTTTGTATATTTTTGTATAGTCACAGTCTATCTTTTATATATTTTGTATAGTGATAATCTATTTAGTATATTTTTTGTATAATGAAAGTCTATTTGTATATATTTTGTATAGTGACAGTCTATTTTATATATATTTTGTACAGTGAAGACTATGCATGAGATAAAAAATTAAAGAGAATTGAGACCTAAAGTTAGAAGATCTGATCCTATTACCCCGAACCCCTTCATTCTTTTCAAAGCAGAGAGCATTAAACACAATTAGTAATGTGACGACCCAAAGGGTCATCACCTGTTTTCTCTTTCATTCTGTGCTTCCGAGGCCTTGAAAACCTTATTTTTACTTGCCTCGATTTGCGTGCGCAGTCCGGCGCGTAACCGGAAACCTTAAATATGAATTCTGTGTAAAAATTTATGAATTTTGATATTATTATGATTAAAGTTGACTTTGGTCAACATTTTGGGTAAACGGACCCAGACGGTCCCGGAGGGTCCGTAGAAAAATATGAGACTCGGGCATATGCCCAGAGTCGAATTCCGAGGTCGAGAGCCCGAGAAATGAATTTTTCTGTGAAATTGTTTTTCTGAAATTTATATGGAAATTTGAAATGAAAATGGATTAGAAAGCGTTGGTATCGGGCCCGTAGTTTGGTTCCGGCGCCCGGTACATGTCTTATATGTGGTTTAAGTGCTTCCTGTGAAATTTGGTTGAAATTGGACGTCATTTGACGTGTTTCGGACCTAAATATCAAAATAATGAAAGTTTATGAAGTTTGAAGAAAAAGTGATGATTTTTGAGGTTTGATTCCTCGTTTATGATGTTATTTTGGCGATTTGATCGCACAGTTAAGTTCGTAGGATGTTGTTGAGTTAGTGTGTGTGATTGGTTAGGAGCCCCGAGTGCTCGGGAGTATTTTCGGAGGTGTTCGGGGTGGTTTTGAACTTAGTGAAATTGCAGAAAAATCTGCACAGGTGCTCAGTAAATTCCTTCATCGCGTTCGCGATATCTCCTTCGCGTTCGTCAAGCTTCAGGTTCCTCTCTCCTTCGCGTTTGCATCCCTTCACCGCGATCGCGTAGAGTTATCGAGTTCTGAGGGCCCATCCCTCCTTCCTTCTTCGCGTTCGCGATGGCTGGACCGCGTTCGCGTAGGTCTCCAGCCCCTTCCCATCGTGTTCGCATACAGGCCAACGCGTTCGCGTAGGCCAAACTCCTTGGAGCCCAATTTTCCTTCTTCGCGTTCACATACTACCCTTCGCGAACGCATAGAGTAACAGCCAGCCTTCTCCGCGAACGCGACCCCTGTGTCGCGTACGCGTAGAGTAAAACCCTTCAGTGAATTTTTCTTAAAAACAGAACACTTAACACGGGATTTCTTCATTATTTTCACACGAGCTCTTCTCCTTCACCCTCCACAGACAAGTTTGAAGAACCTCTTCCTCCATAACTTCATAGGTAAGTGTTCCTAACTTCATTCCCTCTTAATTTCTTCAACTAATCACTAATTTCCTAGCCCTAAATCATGAAATCAAAGTAGAAATTAGGGGCTTTGGGTAGAGTTAGGGTTTTGAGAATTTTGGGTGATCCAACCTCAATTTGGGGTCGAATCTTAGAACAAATTGCATATTTGAACTCGTGGGGTTATGGGTGATTGGGTTTTGGTCCAAGCCTCGTGTTTGGACCATGTGGGCCCGGTGTCGAATTTTGGTATTTTTGGAAGAATGCTAGGAAATTCATTTCTAGGCTATGGGATTATGTTTTTGAGCCTTTATTGATATTATTGAATTAATTATGCCTAGATACCATTGTTTCGTAGTCGGATTGAAGAGGAAAGGCGGTATTAGAGAGTTGATTGCTATTCTCGGACCGAGGTAAGTGTTTGTTCTAACTTTGGCTTGAGGGAATAGGACTAGGATGTTATTTGCTAACTGCTAAATGTGGAGTACGGTGTATAGGCATGGTGACGGTTATCTATGCACCAGAGTCTAGCATGACCGTCGAGTCGTTAATTAGTGTTTGTACGTCGGTAGTTTTTGTTGTATACGTATC